AATAAATAACATTAATAAAAATCAGTTGCTTTTAGACCAGGATGTTGGAGTCCTTAGATAACAACTTTAAACTATAAGTAAAATAAAGAAGATAAAGAAAAAGGTGATGAGCAACCACCAAAAAAAGAGAAGGAATTATAGCAAAGCCTAGAGGGAAATTCTAAAACAACAAACAACAACAACAACAACAAAAATGATGCCATATGCAGGGAACTGCAGAAAGAAATGTTTAAAGACATGGAGGCAAATCAATATATTATTTAATCTGAAGTATAAAGAGAAGTGAAAAACAAAGGGACCTCCGTGAAAATATTAAATAATCTAACATTTAAATAATTGGAATTCCAGAGGAAAAGCAGTTAGGACAAAAAGCAAACAGTGTTTGAAGAAATAATTTCCAAAATGCCATAAATCTATTGAAAAATATCAATGTAAAGAAGCTAATATCTCAGCAAAGTGCAAACAATAAAAACATATGAAAAGTGAAAATTTTCCTAAACACTGCATGAGAAAGCTCTGAAAAACAATTAAAATACACAAAAAAAAAAAACAAAGAAGAGAGAGAAAGAGGCAAGCTCTAGAAAGGGAGCAGTGACAAGAGTGAAATGACAGAGAAACGAGAAAGAAAAGCAGAAGAGTAATAGGAAACAGAAAATATAAAAATACCTGACAACCAAGAATTAAATTGCTAAACCAGGCCTGGTGCCACAGCCTGTAACCACAGCTGCCCAAGACGCTGAACCAGGCCAGTCTGGACTAAGAGAGGGTGCCAGGGCAGCTTGGGCAAGTTTGTGAGACTGCCTCAAAAGTGAAAAGAAGGAGCGAGAGAGAGAGAGAGAGAGAGAGAGAGAGAGAGAGAGCGCTCAGTGACCTAGCACTTGCATAAACAATATCCAGAATGTATACTATTCATGAAGGATGCAAAGTAAAGACATCTTAGACAAACAAAATTCAAGGAAATTTTTCTTAGACCTGAAGAACTTCTGAAGAAAAAATATACGAGATGGAGAAAGATGGCATCACATGAAAATTCCCACCTAGGGAAGGAGGATAATCAGAAAAGATGATGGTGCAAACATTTTCAAAAGCTTCCTCATTAAATGTTTCCATGAGAAAGTCAGCTGTGTACATACATCCCTTATGGGGTTATGACATTTACAAGTATGAGGTATATCAGAATGGTGGTACATGACAGAGAAGGCATGAAGGAAGAAGGCAGCTATGGATTAACTCCACATGCCTTACACATGACCTGAAGTGCTACAACACTTTCCCTAAGGGAGCAATGGAAGCAAAGAATGCATGGTACAAGTCCTAAAGAAACCCACGCATCTTCATAATAAACCTCCAGACAAGTGTCAAGTGAAGTTACTTTTGTATCATTTCTCATCATCAACAATGATTTAAGTTAATGAAAATAACTATATAAAAATAATTTGGTCAAGGTAAGCATCTTTGTTTAATGATCTGGTATGAAAGAAAGATCAAAACGTGGCATTTTATATCCTCAGTAATGGTGTTCCACTTCTGATAAGTTAAGTGTGTTCTAAACCCTCTCTCTGCTTTGATTTGTGATATTAGCTCTCTCTGTTCACTAAGAGTCAAAGAGGCAAATAGGGAGTTTTATTCATTCATGTGTCATTTACTTTTCTCCTTGACGCTTTGGATGACTGTTTAGTCACACCGTCTGAATTCTTATGCCAAGGACCCCAAAGACCAAAGAGAATTTCTAAACATTCATTGTTTGGTGGGTTGAGTTAGATATTTGAGTGGCCACAGAGTATTTTTAAATTATACTAAATACTATCAATTATAATCTGTAGTAGACAGTACACTTTCAAAGAACACCTTTCTATAACCTCTTGTTTGTGCTTGAACCCAACTCTCAAATCTTTCAAAGGGCTCCATAGAAGCCAGGGTACTTTGGAGGAAAAAACTGGTAGAATGTATATACATTCATATCTATAGATTCATATGGACATGATTTATTAGGATGGCTTATAAGCTGTGATTTGGATAGTCCAAAAAATGGCTCTCAATGGACAAGCAAAAAATTCTGGTAGTTGTTTCACCCTCTGAGAATGGGTGTCTGTGTTGGAATCTTGAAGAGGTACAGTCTAACACCAGCGAGGGAATGCCCCAGCAGCGGGACATATGAACTTTTCAGTGAGAGAAAGCAAACATATTTCTCCCTCCATATCCTTTTAGGTAGACTGCCATCAGAAGGTTTGGCCCAGATTTAGCACGTGTCTTCTGACCTCGAATGATCTGAATTTAGAAAGGATCTTCCAACCTTAAATGGTCTAATCAAGAAAGCCCATCATGGGTATGACCGGCTGCTTGGGGTTTAGTTGATTTCATATGTAGGCAAGCTGACAGCCAAGATTAACCGTCACAGACTCTATTCTGCAAATTATAGTCCTCAAAATCATAATGTAAGTTGGCGGCACAGTGATTGATTTTCTCGTGTTACATATGTAGTGCTGTTGCTTTACTAGCCACACTAAAGGATAATGTGGAATATTCTTAAACAATCAAAAAGTCACAGGTGATTTTGCTGTTTGTTTGTTAAAATGGCACTTTGTATGTGCATTCAATGTAAGGGTTACAGCTCAGATGGAAAGATATCCTGGCAGTCAGGAACCAAAGTACAACAGAAAGTCATACTGCGTAACAAACCTCACACAAGAGATCTATTAGGAGAGGAGAAAAAGCAGAGGGCGGCTGCCTCTGCTCAAACAAGGAACAGCAGAGAACTGAGCAGAAGACAGAGTTTATGTAGCTTTTCTTGGGAAGCAGGGTGGGATTTCAAGTAAGAGCTTGGACTTTTTACTCTATAGGGTGGGGGCAGGATCCACCTGTTAGGAAAGTTAGAATGTTTTATGGGTAGAACCTGGTAGGTAAGAGTCCTCAGGGAAGGGACTATTATTATTATTATTATTATATTTTTTATTTGTTTTTGTTTTTTGAGACAGCATTTCCCAGTAGCTATGGAATCAGTCCTGGAACTTGTTCTGTAGACCAGGCTTGCCTTGAACTCACAGATATCCAACTCCCTGCCTCCTGAGTGCTGGGATTAAAGGTGTGTACCACTACTGCCCAGTTCAATCCTATTCTAACTGAAAATGGACCTTGAAATGTGATCACCTTAAATAACTTTGCTCTTGGCAAAAATCTGCCTTCTGATGGAAAACTTGTCCTCAAGGATTCTATTTCTGGATCATATTTTGAGCCTAAACAAAAGAAATTATTACAAGAGAATGTTCATGTTATCTCCACCAAGTAAATCAGCAAACAAACAAACAAGCAGTCTCCGTCTACAGTTAATGACTAAACAGCAACCACACAATTGAGTTGGAGTAAATGTTTGACATTTCTGAAGAAAGAAAATTATCTAGAGAAATCCAACCATTCAAGGCCTTCTCTGGTTGTCTAAGCAGTCTGAAAGCTATGTTACTCATAATGTAGGGAACCAAAGTTGGCATTTGTGTGAAAATTGGCGAATCAGGGTAGTTTTAATTGTGCTAAGACAAAGAGCAGAGTGCATGAAGAAATAAAGTTTGGGTGGTTGGAGAAACGACTGCTACATAATCAGAAAACATCTGTGTCAGGCAAATTCATCAGAGGGGGCAACCACTCCGAGATACAAACCAAATACTGCCACAATTAAAAAAACAAAAACAAGAAAATGAGTCATCTTTCAGGAAGGGTGAATTATTTATCATGTATACTTAAGGGCTACACGTTTAGGTTTTTATCTTTCATTATAAACAGTGCTGTCCTTATCTAAGAAAGTAATGGCTAACACTCTTTGTGATGTCGCTCTGAATCCTTTTGAGAATACCTGCAAATGATAAAATCAAAAATTCAGTGTTTTCTTATTGCTTATAAAATGCTAAGGAAAAATGATTTTCGAGACAGCAGCCAGAGATTGGGCATCTGGGGAATTCAGCTTTAGTGATCTCTCTTTTAAACCAAATAGTTTGTGTATCTGTTTTCAGTATGTTCTTGAGGCACCTTTTAATATTAATACTAAGTAATGAATGGTGGGTAGGAAGGGAAGGGGATTGGGGTGATTCTGTGCACTGGAAAAGACTTCATTGTTTGCAGCCTATTTGGTAGAGTGTCATTTTAAATAAGCGTCAGCCTAAAGGAGGTTTTATTGTTTTAAACCACAGGCTTTATATTACCTTTTTAAAAAAAAGCAACAACAACTCTCAGCCGCAAGTTGGATGATTCTGGCAGCCATACAAATCTAGCACCACCCAGGGAGGGAGCGTGTTTGCCTCTCTGCTCACTTCTGCCAGGGTAGAGGAATGCTGGACACCCAGAGAGAAGGGAGGCTGCCACGCACCGCACCCCAGTCCCACACCTCGGGCTTCCTCCTTCTGTAATACACAGGTAAGTACTCCAAGGTGTTGAACTGGGGAGAACCTGACCAGCAAGCGAGCACTGAAGGCCAAGGGCTCTGCTCGGAAGGTGCACAAAAGGCTTTCTGGACACCTTGGGGGAGAGGGGGTGGCTCACGTTAGCCAGCATAGGTAGGAAGACCTTTACTTCAGTCAATGAATTCCTGAAAAGATCCCACTGTGCTGGGTTGTTCTCTGTATCTGAGCAGTTTACTGTTGAGCACACTTTTCTGTGCATCATTAAAAGAAACTAAACAGTAGCCAAATGCTTGTTTATTTATGACAAATCGGAGTCTGATTAGGAATCTGTTATTCACTGATATCCAAGAGCTCTCAGGTGGTACTCCAGCTTTGCCGCAGAGCGCTGAAATGCTGGCTGAAACACCTCACAGCAGAGTTCAGTTCTCACGGTCAGTGTTTTAAAATAACACAGGCGGATCAAAGGGAAGGAAGGCTCAATGAAACAGGGCTCCCAACACTGGGGACAGGAGATTTTTCCATAACATGCGAAGAGTCTCCGAACATAAAACCGTGCTCATAATGTGTGGTTTCGATGCATTTCTTTTGTCACAAACTCTGTTTCCCCCTCAGATGTCAGAAACTGAGTCAGAAAAGATAAAAGTAAGAACGGCCGAACATTTTGAAAATGACAAAAGTAACATTCCTTGGTTGAAGGAAGGTAAGTCACAGTCCTCTAGATTTTGCTGTAAAAATGGTACTTCTGTTTACAATCCGATGATGCCTCTGGAGGGACAAGCAGGACCCGGGGGCTCAAGGGAGACCTGCATTCTGACTTTGTCATTACACACGTGTCCTGAAATGCAGTTTGAGGGCCTTCCCTACTGAAACTGTCTGTAGTCTTTGGGTTCCAGAAAACAGATTCAACAATTCAAAAGACTTAGCAGAGTCTCTGGAGCAGTGGTTCTCAATCAGTGGGTCGTGACCCCTTGGGTTCGCATATCAGATATTTCCACTATCATTCATAACAGTAGCAAAATTGCAGTTATGAAGTAGTGATGAAATAATTTTATGGTGGAGTCACCACAATATGAGCGACTGTATATTCAAGGGTCACAGCTTTAGGAAAGTTGAGAACAACTGCTTTTTAGGAGCTGGAGGGGCTGGAGGGGATGGAGGGGCTGGAGGGGATGGAGGGGATAAAGGGGCTGGAGGGGATGGAGGGGATAAAGGGGCTGGAGGAGGATTTTCCTCGCTGCAGGAAGACAGTGTAATTTGAGGACTAAATAAATTACACAGAAAGGAAGGTGTGCTGTCAGCAAGGATGCCTACAAATAGAATCACCATTCACTGCAGTTAAAGAAGCCACCGTCCCCAGAGGAGGGTGCTGCGACCACAGGCCCAGCATGCGTAAGAGCACAGCTTGAAATACACACACAAATCAATATGTTCTCCTTTGATGAGTACAAATTAGTGCTGCTTCTGAAAATATGTCCAAGCCTGATTAGTTACTAGAAGGACTGTCTTTATAGCCTTTTGTTTTCATGGACATCGTCATGCCTCTTAAAGGAAACCAACTTGATATTTTATCTGAATAGGTAAATGAGTCTTCCTCATAATGCCATTAAGCCGTTCTGTTAGGAAGGAAAAGCTTTTGTTTTATAAGGTCACACAAGAGTTAAGGACTAAGTTGGGAAGGTGATACAAGCCCCAGAAAGTACTGATAGCATGAACCACACTGGCATGTTTATTGGTATTTATTGGTGTTTATGCTGAATCATCCTGACCAACCTAGGAAGCAGTTATTATCAATAATTCACCAATGAGAAAACTGGGCCTTAAAGAGTCCAAAGAACTTGCCTAAACTTGCAAAATAAGGAGGCAGGAGAGCTGGGACTGGATCCCAGGTTACAGACCTTGACAGTACATAGGCTTAACTATCACCTCACCAGGTTTAGGGGAAAAGATGGTTCAGTCACCTGGCAGCACAAAAGTATGCTCTAAAGAATGCTTTCTTACTGTGTTTAAATCAAAGCTAGTGTACAACGTCATCACGTACTCTTATCCTTAATCCCATCCTACTTCGACCCTCATTTTGAAAGCATTCAACTAAAAATAAATAATTTATTTTGTCCAATTGGGCAATTATCAATTAATGGTAAGGTCTCCTCGCCATAAGAGGTCAGGAAGAAGAGGCTTAGTCAAGTGTCTGCCATGGAAGCAGGAGAATCAGGAGTCTGGATCTCTGATATCTGTACAGAAGCTAGACATGGTGGTAAATGCCTACAATCTCGGTGCTGAGGAGACAGAAAGAGGAAGATCCCTGAGGATTGCTTGTCACAGTTGGGTTAGCTGAACCAGTCAACTCTAGGTTCCATGAGAGACCCTGTCTCAAAAATTAAGGCATAGAATAATTGAAAATGAAACCCAGTATCAACTTTTGGCTGCGTCTCTCTCTGCCCCTTTCTCTCTCTCTTTCATCTCCCTCTTTCCCCTCATCTTCCCTCTCCTTCTTCTCCCCCCCCCTTACATACACACACGTTAACAGGCATGTACACTAGTATACATACCTTTACACACACAGAGATTTTATTTAAGGTATACTCACATAAAGTATTTTTGGAATCACATCTTCAAAAAGCTTCAGGGCCAGAAAATTATCTGATATTTTTATCCAAAAATCTTTTATATGCAATCTTTTTAAATTAAGGTAAAGGGGAAATGTGAACTTAGGTCAAAGACCCACCTCCAGGTTTTACCTGTGAATCTTGAGTTTATTAACTGAAGCTGCCGTTTGCTACTGTATATCATGTTTATATTATTTATTTTGATTTTAATTGCTCTACACTGTAGACTTAAGTGGAAATAATGATGAAACCAATAGACCAATCATTTCCAGAGATTTCTCTTTAAAAAATTATGTCCATTAAGTACAAGTTAGGCATTGAATTCTTGTAATCTATAAGATCTAATTTCCCAGGTGACCTGTTTTTATCCCATTTGGACACTTCATTTAAGCTATACTCAAATTATGTTTACAATATTTCATAAAAGGAAATGGAGCCAGATGCCAGATGACAACATCTTAATTGGGAATTATCAGGATGAGTTAGTTTCGAGCATAAATGTCTTTCATTTTTGCAGCTAAGAAAAAGTGTATGGGTCGGCAAAAAAAAAAAAAGGTTGCGGTGGGGAGGAGGGGGACACTAATGGGCTCAGCAGAAAGAATACAGCATTTGAAAGCAGTCGTCCATGGCTTTAAATCTTAGCTCAGCTGCTTCTCAGCTCTGTGGCCATAGCTGGCTATTCAACTACCGCAGGCTTATTTCCTTCCTTGGTGGTAGACTATGTGTATCACATGAAGAATGAGCGCCTATGGTTTCTATGTTTCTTGCCATGTTGAAAATATGACTGAAAATGGTTTTTTTAAATTTATTTTATTTTTTAAAAAATGAAAACAAACTATTTTTTTCATTTTGCATACCAATCCCAGTTCCCACTCCCTTCCCTCTGCCCATTCCCTCTACCTAACCGCCCCACCTTACCCCCATCCACTCCTCAGAGACAGTAAGGCACATTGCTTTGGGGAAGGTCTAAGGCCCTCCCTATCATATCTAGGCTGAGTAAGGTATCCATCCAAAGAGAATAGATTCCCCCAAAAACATATAAGACTTGGTGCCATTGCCAGTGGCCCCATAGTCTTCCCCAGCCATACAATTGTCATCCACTTTCAGAGAGTTTAGTTAAGACCTTTGCTGGGTCCTTCCCTGTCTGGCCGGAGTTGGTGAGCTCCCATTAGCTTAGGTAAACTGAGTAGTGTCCCCATCATGGTCTTGACCTCTTAGTTCATATCCTCACTCCTCCTAGTCTTCAACTGGACTTTGGGAACTCAGCCCAGTGCTCTGCTGTGGCTCTCTACCTCTGCTTCCATCAGTTGCTGGATAATTCTCCAATCAAATGAGCCTAAGAAACAAGTGGGTGTAGCTATCCTAATATCTAACAAAATAGACTTCAAACTAAAATCAATCAGAAGAGATGGAGCAGGACACTTTATATTCATAAACAGGAACAATCTATCAAGATGAAGTCTCAAGCCTGAAAAACAATATTTTGGAGAGCTTGGTTTACTCACGGAAATGTCTATATTCTTAAGTACTACATGTTTTTTATCAGGTTATTTATGCTCTTCTATTAGTTTCCTAATACAACCTCCTCGGTAATAGAGTTGTCCCCATCTTACAGACAGAGAAACTGAGGCTGAAAAGGATCTGGGTCATGTTTAAACTTGCAGGACTGATGAATTATAAACAGAATATCAGACATTTGTCTCCGAGTTGTAAATTCAATTATTATTATTATTATTATAATTTATATTAATAACTCCCCTAACTCTGTCAAATCAAATTCTACCTCTTTGTTTCCTACTGTCCTCCTTTGAAGAAGTGGAAAACATGCTTCAAGCTGCTCAGGAAAGACTTTTTACCTTGAATGCACAATACAAACACTTCTCTTCGAACCATGCCTCTGTTTCCACACTCCAGACCTCTTGGTAAATTCTCCCCACTGTATGAGCAGGACTGAAGCAGGTACCCGCTGGGGTAGTCAATAAAGGGTATCCAGAGAATGCATGACTTCTACTGATCTGGCAACCAGGACTGAAGTAATAAGGGCGGCGGGGCCGCTCCCCCAGCACCCCAGCCGCCCGCTCAGCTAGCTTATGCCCCGAAATAACAACACACAAACTGTATTCATTTAATCACTGCTTGGCCCTTCTGCCCTAGCCCTTACTGGCTAATTCTGATATCCCGATCAACCCATCTCTAATAATCGGTGAGCACCGGTCTTACCGGGAAAGGTTCAGCATGTCTAACCTGGCGGCTTGCTTCATGGCATGTGTCTGCCCAGGAGCCGGGAGCATGGCGTCTCTCTCAGGCATCTGCTCCCAGGAGGAGAGCGGTCGAGACTCTGAGCTCACTTCCTCTTCCTCCCAGCATTTTGTTCTGTTTACTCCTCCCACCTATCCTCTAACCAATAAAATGGGCCAGGGCAGTGCCTTTATTAGCCAATGACCTTCCTCCATCACAGGACTAGACTCACTATCGCTACCTTACTACAGAGGGGTGCTGCTGTAAATTTTCATCTTCAGACAGCTCTACACCCAACCAGTCTAAATCAGTATCTGTTGAGCATACCATTATGGGAGAGAAGGTATGAAGGCGGTAGAAGCCAGTAAAAAGAAATATACTCCTTCAAGGAGTTGACGGTTCAATCGTCTTGATTTTGACTGGAGGGTCAACAGCTCTTGCGTGAGCCTCCTTATGTGGATCAAAGGCCTGATGGTTTCCAGGGTGATGTCAAAGGGCTGAGGAAAGCCACACCCAGGGATTTTATCAATACTTAGGATCAACAGAGCTTACCCAACACTGATTGGAATGCACTAATTTTAACATGAATTAAATTTTATTTCTACCTTTCTCAAACCACCTAGAAGTCTACCAATGCCTTTTGTACCACCTACAAATGCTAGACTTCCCAAAGTTCAGACTTAGATATCTATGTATCTATGAGTTGTTATGTATGAACATATTATTTATCTACTTGTCTTTCTATCTACCTATAAACCATCTAACTACATACCTATCTATCTTTATCTGTCTATGTATCTGTTGAAGTGATTATATATTAATCTACTCACACACATATTTTTCTATCTATCTATCTATCTATCTATCTATCTATCTATCATCTATCTACCTATCATCTACCCATCTATCTCTATCCATCCAACCATCTATCTGAATATGTATCTATGTATCATCTATTGTCTCTCTTATTCCTGAAGCAATTTAAGATATAATTGGAGCCGTAGGAAACATCCCAAAGCGCAGGACATTTTACTTTATAATAAGACTTCTAGGCACCACACTCAGGGAATCCTTGTTCTGAGACAATGAGAGAACAGGACAATATTAGGAAATACACAGCAGAAAAGATGAGCTATTTCCCAAAAGAGTAGATTTGGGAAGGCTAAAAAGACTAATCACCATGGGAGGAAACAAGACACTGCTGGGGGCTGCACCACCAGAGCGGCTCAAAGGGAGTTCTCTGGTGCATGATTGCTCATTATTGGTTTGAGCATGAACAAAAATGAAGGGGAAATTAGCTGAGTTCCAATTCCATGTTGCCCTACAGATCTGAGAGTAAGAACCAGTATATTGAACCACAAGCTCAAAAGGGAGCAGAAGAAGAGACGGGAGAAGGGCAAAGAATGAATCCTTTCAGCAGCCCAGAGCAAGGAAATCAAGATCTGGATAAAACTCACAACAAGGACAGGGAGAAAATAGGCCCCAGTATGAAAAACTACATGGAGGAGAAATTGATATAACATAGAAATTGGGGTGAAAATTACAGGTGGAATAGGTTGGTGTGCAATACCCCATTAAGTCAGGGAGCATTCTGGGTAAGCATTTCTGTGCTTGTACCTTATACCATTTGATACAGATGAGAAACATCCAGATAAAGGGATAGGAGCCCTGAAATTGTGGCCATTTACAGTTTAAAATCACAGCACCACCAGTGTCTGAATTGCAAGCAATTTCTTAGAGTATCTCCTGATTCTTGGGAGACACTGGGAATCTGGATTTTGATGGGAAATCTCCTGATTGCTACAGATTAAGTAATAAAAGCCACAACAACAATAAAAATAACAGTAGTACCGTGTGGGGCAAACGAAACCAGGTTCCGTGGGTCCATTTCAACAGCAGGTTGCCCGTTTGTGACTTCTGTTATCGGAGTTTGAACCGCTGAAGAACTTCTTAAAGAATTTCTAAAGAACTGGTTTTCTGTAAACATTGCTTGCTAGGCAGATGTACCCACTTATCACCCACCTAGCCATTGCTGTTCACACAGATGTGCACGTTAATTCATTTGAGCAAGCCATGCAGAAGTCAGGATGTGAAAGGGAGAGAACTGAGTTACCACATCGTCCTGTAAGAGGGTAGTTACCGAACATTTTGTCAGTGTGGTATTCTCTTTACATCCGTCACAAGCAGAGGGAGGAAGAAAACACAACTCATCCCTTATCCTCTCAGCACAGAATAGCAGTGACTTGGACTCTTGGACGCATAGGTTATTCGGTCAAAAGTAGAGACTGCTAATCTACACTACTCCAAAATAGCACAGGGGCTGCCAAATCCCTATTTCCCAAGTTCTCCTTTTTAAGCAATGCAAAGGGGGCTCCAAATGCCTCAACTTTGTCTACTGCAAACGGCAGTGGGGAATGAAAGACTCACATACATCATGTATTGGCATTCCTAAATTCTCTGGACTTGCCTCTCACTGAAGGCAATTTGACCAGCTGTTCAAAGGCAATTTCAGGTCATGAATATTAAAATGATTCCAAAATATCAGTTTTATTCAATTTAATAACCATTTGATGGGGCTCCTTTTGAGCGTATACACAATTTGCTAAGTGAAGAAACATGCAAAAATGAAGTTTCTACGCTCAAGAAACTTGGTGTCCAGGTGCTCTATTATAAGGTCCAAATATTAAGGTATGCTAATTTTGTCACTCATATAATTCCCATTTCAAACATGTGTTTTATTTTTAATATCTACCCTAAAAACTAAGCCACACGATTGTCTGTTTTAAATTGTTAGTTTATGTGAACAGCGTATCTTAAGATGATATTGTTTTATTCTGTAAACATGAGATAGAATCATTAGCTATTACTTATTATGCAATAAGCAAAATATAGCTAAAGAAAAGATAGTAGTATGTTTTTCTGTTTTTTAATGTAGCTGACAAGAGAAGTTACACATAAAAACATGTCCTTGGAAGTTGTATAAATACATAAAATAAGAGCTGTCTTAGTCTTCATGCATTTTAATTTTGGATCACAGAATACCAAAGAACATACAGTGCATACAACAAAGACATGTAGTTTTTAAAGATTCTAGTTTCTGAGGCAGAGGAGGCCAGGGTCAAAATCCCTATAGTTGCTCAGGACTTTCCTGCTCTATTTTCTCACCCCAACACAAGTTTGGGGAATGATATATTCAAAGCTTGGCAAGTGATATAAAGGAAATTTCACACGGGTAATTGCTCAGAACCTTAGAAACATGTGCTCGTGATCTAGCAAAAAGATGGTAAGACGAAAGGCTATAACAACAGAGGCAGGGAAGAAAGGGAACAAAGATGTGATGAATCTGGGCTGAGAACTGGCTGATGCCTCTATGCAAGGCACCAGAAAGGACTCCAGTGCAGACTTCTGGCTTGTGATGACATCGTAGATGCTTAGTGGAGAAGAATGGGAGAAGGGAGGATGGATGATGTGGGTCAGTGAACTATCTTGGAGCAGAAAGACTTAGAAGATATTAAGTCACATAGACAAGTAAAAGAGCGCTTCAGATTTCACTCAGAGATGAAAGATGTGGAGGCTATTTCTTTTAAATATATAAAAATATATAAAATAATATAAATATATTTTAAATATATATGTAAGTGTATATATTTTAAATATATTTTTATATATTTATTTTTATTTTATGTATTTTTAAAAATTCATTTTACGTTACAGCCATAGTTCTTCCTCTTACCCCTCCTCCTGCCCCCCTCTTGCCTCCCCCATGGAAATCCTTCAATTCACTCCTTCCAATCGGTAAGGGCTCCTATGGGGAGTCAGGGAAGTCTGTCATATTAAGTTTGGGCAGGAGGACCAAGTACCTCCCCACTGCATTAAGGCCCAAACATGGTTTCCCACCATAGGGAGGAAATGGGCTCCAACAAGCTAGCTCATACACCAGGGATAGATCTTGGTCCTACTATTAGGGGCCCCTCAGATAGTGCAAGCTTCACCTCTGTCTAGGGCCTAGTTCGATCCTATGAAGACCTCACAGCTGTCTAGAGTTCATGATTTACCATGAGCTTGGTTCAGGTGTCTCTGTAGATTTCTCCATCATCATCTTGACCTCTGTTGTGCATACATTCCCTCCTTCATCTCTGACTGGATTGCCAGAGCTCAGTCAGTGCTTGGTTGTGGATCTTTACATCTTGTTCCATCTGTTATTGGATGAAGGCTCTATGATGATAGTTGGGATATTCACCAATCTGATTACAGGGGAAGGCCAGTTTGGGCACCCTCTCTGTTATTACTAGTAGTCTTAACTGAGGTTAACTGTGGATTCTTGAGAATCCCTAACCCCATAGTGGCTCTCTATCAAGAGAATGCTTTCATTGCTCTCCCACTCTGCCCCTTCCCCCCTCAACCATTCTGTTTCCTTATGTTCTCATTCCCCTTTCCCTCCTCCTGCCTGCCTAGCCCCTAGTTTACCCAGAATCTCATCTAAATCTTCACAGGATCATCCATGTGTCCCTCTTAGGGTTCTCCTTGTTACCTAGATTCTCTGGAGCTGTAGATGTAGTCTGGTTATTCTTTGCGTTTTATCTAATATCCACTTGTAAGTGAGTGCATACTGTATTTGTCTTTCTGAGTCTGGGTTATCTCACTCAGGATTATTTTTTTTTAGTTCCATCCATTTGCCTGCAAATTTCATGACGTCATTGATTTTTACAGCTGAGTAATATTCCATTGTGTAAATGTCCCACATTTTCTTTATCCATTCTTCTGTTGAGGGCCATCTAAGTTGTTTCCAGATTCTGGTTATTATGAATAATGCTGTTATGAACATTATTTAGGAAGTGTTTTGTGGTACAATTGAGTATCCTTTAGGTATATGCCTGAGAGAGGTATTGAGATAGATTGATTTCCAATGTTCTAAGAAACCACCATACTGAATTTCAAAGTGGCTATACAAGTTTGCACTCTTACCAGCAGTGGAGTGCGCCCCTGACTCCACATCCTCTCTGACATAAGCTGTTCTCATTATTTTTTATCTTAACCGCTGTGATAAGTGCAAGATGCTATCTCAGAGTCATTTTGATTTGAATTTCCCTGATGATTAAGGATGCTGAGCAATTCCTTAAATGTCTTTTGGCCATTTGATATTCTTCTGACGAGAGTTCTCTGTTTAGCTCTGTACCCCATTTTTTAATTGGACTATTTTGTATTTTGATGTATAGTTTCTTGAGTTCTTTATATATTTTGGAAATCAGCCTTCTGTCAGATGTGGGGTTGGTTAAGACCTTTTCCTCTTCTGTAGGCTGTTGTTTTGTCTTGTTTACCTTTGCCTTACAGAAGCTTTTTAGTTTCAGGAGGTCCCTTTTATTAATTATCATTCTCAGTGTCTGTGCTACTGGTATTATATTTAAGAAGTGGTGTCCTGTGCCAATAAATTCAGGACTACTTTCCATTTTCTCTTCTATTAGGTTCATTGTAATTGGATTTATGTTGAGGTCCTTGATCCACTTGGACTTAAAGTTTTGTGCATGGTGATAGATATTTGTATGTTCTTGTAGAAGCAAAAAAAAAATAAGTAAAAAACTTTTATGAGAAGAAATAACAATCTTGATGGTGTTAGAGCAGGATAAATATGTCATGCTTCAAATGGGTAATTAAAACATTTATAGCTATCACAACAGTGTTCTGTGGGTGTTGGTGGGGAGCTCACAGCATGAATCCTCTTTTAGGCCCTGAATCATCTTCATCTTGGGAATGCCTACTAATGATAGGGTTCAAAGTACAATAGGATACATCTTTTTGTGTTTTATTTTTCCAAGAACATAAAGAGCTACCAAGGGTTGGCAGCTTACTTTTCAAGATCCAAGCAAATTTTAAAAAGAATCTCATTATTTATTGAGAGGTATATTAGGATGTGGACTGTAGTTACATTAATGAGAATGGAATTGATTGAAGGCATGGGAGTGGTCCGTTGTCCCAAGGAAAATCTGAGGTCCATGTACAACAGGAACTAATCTGTCTCTGATGAGCTTGAGACTGAGACAATACACACAGGGTACCACTCCTGGAATGAACGACCGCTATGTAAAGTTCTTTCTTTCTCTGTCTCCTCCTTTAGACTCCAAGTCCCTAGAAAGGAAAGATAGCATTTCAATCAGAAGTCCCCACTCTGGTTAGTAAAGACTTGACGGTCAGGATCAGGTAGATCCTTTTTTTTTTTTTTTCAGAGAGAAACAGGTTGTGGCATCAGCCAACAGGATAAAAGAATCTGTGCTGCCTCAAATCATAACCACTCTAAGCCTGCCCCGTGGTAACTGGATTCCTAGCATCTCTCTCCAAGAGGAGTAAGATTTTTCTTAAGAACATGACATGCTGGTGATAAACCACTAAACATTTCAGAAAAGAAGACTACTCACTTTAAATGACTTGGCCTCCTACTAAAGTTCAAATATCAGATCATTTCATGTTTAGATAGTTCAGGAAAAGATGAGGTCTTCTGCGTTCTCATAGATCAACAAATTAAATTCCAGAAGCACATCCACAGCCGACAGTTGAGATCTTGCTCCCATTAAGCCTATAAAGGAGTAAGCTCATTTCGTGTAAAGTGATGACGTTGATCCCAATGGATGGCTGAGAAGATGCCGTGTCAGCCTCGAGACTGACCAGATAAATTAATCAGTGTGAAGTCCCATAAGTTGTTCAGCTGCAGATTTAAAGACTCCTCTTCAATGAGGATAGGGCAGTACATCAAATCTAGGATGATCTTAGTTCATCATTATTAATTACAGTTTTATGAACTAGGAGTGAAACAATTCATACAGACTGGGAGCCAGTGCGTTTTATCTCATCAGGAAGAAGAAAATGATGGGCATCCAGCACCAGAAAGATCTCCACTTTCTAATAGAGACTGCTAGAGAGCTGCTCATCTTTGTGTATGTCCCAATAGTCATCGATGTGATATACCTAATCAATATTGGTAGAAAGAGCAATCTTACAGGCAGAGGAAAAAGTCTCTTACAGTCTACGCCTTGGGATAAGGACATTCCATTTCTGGTAAATTCTACAAAGATACTTTACATTTATATGATTATGGCCCATTTCTCTCAGCTTCGGAGCCACATTTAGAGGGAATACTTCCTAATAAAATGCACCTACATGAGGTGTTCACCAGACCATTAGTTTAAAAAAAAAGAGGGGGAGAGGAGGAATATGAATAGCTGAAATGAAGACATCACTCAGTAGGTAGCATCAACCATTTCAACCATTTTAGATATCATTTGAGCCTGCCAGGAAATAGATGTGCAGCACAGACAGAAAGCAAGGGCAATGGTAGTAGTTGTGACAGAGCGTAGCTTCTAGAAAGTAGAAGGGACAGCTCACAGAAGCATAGTATTAGATTAGATCCCAGGTGCTATTTCTCCTTTGATGTTTCCCCATGCCAGCGTAGCCTTTAAAAGGAGAAGCAGCATTGTAGAAAGTAAGAGTGATATTTCATAAATTCTAGTCTCCAATTACAGGCAGCACGATCTGCCCTATAGCTCTTCATTTACTTAAAAGTCATTTCTGCTGCTGCTGTTGCTGCTTCTGCTTTCTTCGTCTGAAAGCATTTGCACCCTATGCTGACTGTGAGCTCAGGATCTTTGGACCGCCCAATCCAGAGATGACAAGCATACACTGTGACAGTTAGCTCCAGATTTTCCTATGTAGGAACTTTACTAGCAATGACAGGAAACCAAATTTCTTCCAGAGGTAAAAAAAAGGATACATTTAAATAGCTCATGTTTAAATTTTATAAATTTAATACAATCTACAGAGTCGGGGTGGGGGGAAGGATGGTTCAGTCATTAAAGGGTCTGCCTATAGCTGTTAAAGCTTGAATCAGATCCCCAGAACCCAAATGAAAACAACGTCACAGCAGTGCAAGTCAGCACTCCTACCTAGTGCTACAGGATGGGAGACAGCAACAGAAGGGTCCCTGAAAACTCAGGGGTCAACTAAATCATTCTCCATGGTGAGGCTCCAGGCCCGTGAGGGATCCTGTCTCAGGGGAATGGTGGAAGGTGCCAGAAGATCGATGCTTCTGACCTCCTCATACACACATGCAAATGCTCCCCATCATATGAAGATGTACACATAAAATAACTAACATACTAAATAAATGATAATATATAAGATCTTTAC